ACATTGCGGAGCTCATGCAGCAAGCGCGAAATAGCAGGCACTCTTTACACGGCGCGCGCACACACACTTGAACACTGCTCAGTGACTGGGTTTTATTTACCATGGTGAGCTACTTATGTCAGAGAGAAGGCAGCTGGGGATCTAAAGGTCATGGGTGATGCAAGAAATGGGGCATATTTGGGGTCGCCAGGTTCCCCCCCCCCGGCCACCGGCAGGGGACGGGTTTGGCAGATCCAGGTTGGTAAACTCCTGGAGAGTTGGGGATGAAGCTTGGGGAAGACCTCAGCAGGGTATAACGTCAGGGGTGTGTAATGCCATAGAGTCCACCTTCCAAAGCCATCCATTTTCTACAGGGGAATAGATCTCTCTAGCCTGGAGATGAGCTGTAATTCCGGGGAATCCCCAGGCCCCACTTGGAGTCTGGCAACTCTGGGCGTACCGTTAGGCGACGTCAATTGGCACCCCCGTATACCGCACCGAGATCCGCTTTGACATATATCCCCAAACTGGTTCACTTGTCCTCTGCTCAGGGTCCACCAAGAGCCGAAAGAGAGCCCAGTTTTGCCGACTTTGATTGGCAGCCACTCTTGGGAGAGCCCCGCTACCGGAACACTGTTGAGGGGAGATGCCAGGGACTGAATCTTTGACTCACCACGGTTCCTCTTACAAGACACGTCCACCTGACCGCATAAGGGAGGGCCGTTCCCTTTGGAATTACGCTGTAAGAAGAATGTGGAGAGGGCTCGAGCCCCCAGAGGCCGTGGCAATCACACCGCTTGGGGAGATGCAGAAGGTGGCGGGTCTAAGAGAGGAATGTTCCAGGACCCTTACCTCTGGGCACTGCAGTTGGAGGAAGCATGACGTGCGCTCAATTCAATCCCACCGGGAGAATATTGAGGACAAGCTAGAAAACGGATGGGGTTGGTTCCCTTTTCTACTTGTACGATCCAGGACAAAAAGGGGGTAATCGTTCTTGGGTGAAGAGCGAGATTTGAGTCCGGGAACAACAAGATTTTCGGGCTACATACCCCAAAAATCAAGCTGGTCCCTAAGGTGCTACTGGAATCTAGCTCTTCCACCAACATGGCTACTCTCGGAACACCAACATGGTTACTCTTGGAAACATTCCCAGTTGTTATGCAGTTGTTCCCCAACGCCCAAGTTGTGCTTCAGTCTCTGGCATGGGCACACCCCCCAAGATGGAAATCAACACAAATAACACATTTATTACAATACATGAATAGATTATCTGCTGAAGAGAAGTCTAGTCCAGGGGTCCCCAACCTTTTTAGGGCCTGTAGGCACATTCGGAATTCTGACACGGCATGGGGGGTGCAGCGACAAAATGGCTGCCACGAGAGGCAGGAGCCAGCCACAAAGTGATTCCCAAAGCTTAACTTCAGTAATGCAGTGCAGATCCTTGTATTGTGGTGGCAGCTGCTGCCAAAGCAACATTTTTAAAAAATTTACAGATTTAATCAGATCTCCGACAGCCAATCAGAAGCCCTGCTGGGCAAACGCCCTTCCTGGCCCCGCCCACTTCCTAAAAACACTTGGTGGGCATCAGAAGGTTGGCAAGTGCCAGGGTGAACACAGGCACCATGTTGAGGACCCCTGCTCTAGCCCATCATGATGGAAAGGTAAAGACGCATCTCCCCAAAACATAGACTTAACTGTTTAAAGTGTATGGATATCCTCTGTTGTTCGAGGATACCAGTATGCTTGTATGTGTGTTTTAATATGGTTTCTGGTGGACAAGTTATTCTCATGTTGTAATGAATATGTGATTCATGCTGATCTGTACTGCCAACGTTTTTGGGGTATTGTTCTTGATTAGACAGAACTGTGTGGTTTGGGGGAACATGGCGCTCGGGATTTGCCTTCCGTTACTGTTAAGCGTATGTTTCCAACTTGTATCTGCCAAAGTGAACTCTTGACTCATGGAATACCCTGGAAAATTTCGTTAGTCTTAAAGGTGCTGCTGGACTCGAATTTTGTTCTGCTTAAAGCCTATGACATTCGCACCTTGCAGCTTTTGATCAGAGCCCAGCTATTAATGCAACGAAGACTGTCCATGTTAAACACTCCAGCCCACTAGCATACAAGCACAGGTAGTCCTTCGATTGACCCGTGCGGGCGGAGGAAATCCAAAACACTCAAGCGGACCCAGGTTTCAGGTCCCTACAAACGTCTGGATTACTGCAGGACCATTGCACGCCGGCTGGCACAGAAAGGGTTCCCAAGTGACCATCTGAGGCCAACGAGGGCCTCTGCCGCCGCCGCCTTTCCACCTCCGTCCCGGACACGGACCTCCGAGGGAAGGGCGTCATTGATCATCCCCGCCGAAGGCGCGGGGTGGCGCTTGTGCCCGTCAACCACGTAAGGTCCCCGGTCTCTGACACTTTGCCAGGCTATTATGTTGGCACGAAACAGAGAAAGGGCAGGGCTTGGAACAGATCTCAGCCGCCGCAGTAAGGACGAGGGGAGAAAAGCATGGAGCTTTGGCCGGTGGGGAAGTGGTTCGAGACGAAAACTACAGCAGCAGGAAGGCAACACCAAGTGGCCGCCGTGCCCCACAGCGTCGAGGCCCCTTGGGAATTAAGGACTGAGCTGGACGCGGGGGGTCAATGTGAAGGCTGCTGCCGAAAACAAAACCACTGGGTCCCATCCTCCCCTCTCGCCTAAACAGGCAGATTCCAGTGGCATCTTAAAAAGGTAAAGGTTTCCCTTGCTCGAAAGCCAGTCGAGTCCGACTCTAGGGTTGCGGTGCTCATCTCCGTTTCAAAGCCGAAGAGCCAGCGCTGTCCGAAGGCGTTTCCGTGGTCACGTGGCCGGCATGACTAAACACCGAGGCGCACGGAACGCTGTTACCTTCCCACCGAAGTGGTACCTATTTATCTACTTGCAATTTCTTGCTTTCGAACTGCTAGGTTGGCAGGAGGTGGAACTAGAGACGGGAGCTCACTCCGTCTTGCGGCACACTCGGGTCTCGAACTGCTGAACTACCGACCTTCCACAGCCTGCAGTTCAGCGTCTTAACCCCTTGAGCCACCGCAGCTCCTTAGTGGCATCTTACAGACCAACAAAATCTTCGAGGTACGATATTTCGAGAATCAAAGCTCCCTGGGCCAGATACCAGAGCTTTGACCCTTGAAAGCCTGTGCCCTGAAGATCTGGTCAGTCTCTAAGGTGCTACAGGATGCGAATCCAGAAGTTCTATGGCAGACTGACAGGGCTACCTCCCCACAACGTTTTGGCAGAGTCGCTGGCGGCTCCTCGGGCCCCCGGAGGCGAACAGGGGCTGCGAAATGCAGGAGAGGATGCCGCAAGGTGAGTCAAGACCGCCTACAGACTACAGGGTGGGGATGGAAGAGAGGCAGCTCTCGGCGCTTCTGGTCCTGTGCTGTGCATAAAACATAGCTAGGCCCCAAGTCCAAAGAATTGGAGATGGGGAAAGCCAATCCCAGGGGGGCTATTATTACTGCAGGGCTGGGGCAAAGCCGAAGAGGTATGTCGCTGTTCTCCTGGGCCTCCACCACTGCTGTTCGGGCCCAAACCAAGCCCTCGGGGCAACGCTCCAGAACTCAGACCGGCTACTGGTGGGGCTGACAGGGCTCTTTTTGTAGCAGGGACTCCTTTGCATATTAGGCGACACGCCCCCTAATGTAGCCAATCCTCCAAGAGCTTACAGAGCTCTTCTTACAAGGGCTACTGTAAGCTCTTGGGAGGATGGGCTACATTAGGGGGCGTGTCGCCTAATATGCAAAGGAGTTCCTGCTACAAAAAGAGCCCTGGCACTGGTGCAGATCCGGGTGACGATGCCACTCGCCTCTCGTGCTGCTGATGCCCAGGAGCAAGAGGGGGTCCCTTGTGGGCCCTCGGTGCCCCCTCGCTAATGCCACTCCGGGCGGTCGCTTGGCTGGAAAACCAGCCCTGCATTGCTGCGGCAGGAAGAGGGAACAGTTCAAATGGATGGGGGGGGGAGAAACAAAGAGAAGAGAGCCGCTGAGCCTGGTGGCTGGATTGGGAGCTAGAAAGAGCTGCAAGTCGAAAAGGGTGAGCTGGCAAGGGGGCGGAGCTCTGCCGTTCTCAGAGGGAAGGACTCGAAGAAGGGAACGGGGCCCCGAAGTCCCGGCTGAACGATACGCCGAGCGATTTTATTGTCAGCTGCAACTGGGGTTGCCAACTCTAGGTTGGGAAGCACCTGGAGATTCGGGGGGGGCGGAGCCCGGGGAGGGCGGGGTTTGGGGAGGGACAGAACCTCGGCAGGGCCCAATGCCATAGAGTCCAGCCTCCAAAGCAGCCATTTTCTCCAGGGGAGCTGATCCCCGTCGCCTGGAGACCAACTGTAACAATGGGAGACCCTCCACGCCCTACCCGGAGGTTGGCAACCATCTCCACAAGCGGAATTATCTCGGGCTCCGACGAGTGGGTGGTGCCCCCACTTTTAAAGTTAAGGAGCCCGGATGGGTGGCCCGGACCCAGCAGAAGAGAGTGCGGGAAGGAGTGCAGCTGGTTTTTTGTGGGGTTTTTTGTAGGCAATGCTTAGGAGATACTTGCTTTGCTATTTTTTTTGTTTTAAACCGGGACGCGTGAAGCCACTTTTGAAGCGGTTGGGGGGCGGAGGGAGAGGGAAAGTCTCTTCTTATTTTTTTAAAAATGCTATTTACGAGCTGCGACTTGGAAAGAAACAGCTATATATCTGGAATATTGTTCGGTTTTTTAAAAAGGCTTTACTCCCCTCGAGGAAATAAAAATATTAGATTTACAAAAAAAAAAAAAAAAAAGGAAAAAAAAACAGCCTGCATTGACTCTCCAGAAGAGAGGTTTGACAATATTAATCCAAATATCACGCTATTTAATTCCCCAATAAAACATTGGGAAAAAAGTGCCTACAATCTCTTTCTAACACTTTTGCTACATATAAAAATCTCCAGCTAATAGGAATCTTATGGTACCAACCCTCTAAACGGTTAAGATATATACACATTTTTTGGGGGGTGGGGGGGTGGGAGGTGAGGGGATATTAACAAACAGAATATTACAAAGGTATTAAAGAAGGCAACTCTTCTTGTTTTCACTTGAAGTTGGCGTAATCTGAGAAGGCGTCGATGTATTCCTGAACCACTTTGTAGCAGAATTCGTACTGTTCCTGGAGGGCCGGGGGAGAGAGAGAAAGCAGAGAATTGAGAGAGAGAATGAACGGTCAAGTCTTGAAACACATTACAGCAGAGCTGAGGCTTAATCTCCTGATTCAGAGCAAGGATGGCAAGTTTAGGAAAGATGCGTGGAGAGGTGATACCTCCTCTCCACCATAAGACCACCATGCTGGATCAGAGCCAATGCTCCCTTTTTTGTATATGGATTTGCTGTTTCCTGAGGAGGAACCTGTTTCCTGAGGAAGAACCTCCTCAGGAAAGCTCCTTCATTAGCATGTTTCACAGCCTGGGGAACCCCTACATGAAAATGACTCAGCCCTACCCCACCTTCCTGAGTAGATATAGATTACCTGCCTACCATTTTTCTTCTCACCCTTGACACAGAGAGTACTCCATTAGCATGTTTCACAGCCTGGGGAACTCCTCCAAGAGAATGACTCAGCCCTACCCCACCTTCCTGAGTAGATATAAATTACCTGCCTACCATTTTTCTTCTCACCTTGACACAGAGAATATTCCGTCTTTCTGTGTCATACCTCTGAGGATGCCAGTCACAGCTGCTGGCGACACGTCAGGTCCTACAATGCCAATACCATGGCTAGACAACCCGGAAAAATCTACAGCAGCTAATGTTTCTGAGTTGCATCTTGCATGGTTGATGTGGCTAACCCTGGACTCCCTTGGGGGTCTCCCATCCAAGTACTAACCAGGGCTGACCCTGTTTAGCTTCTGAGATCAGACAAGATCAGGCTAGACTCGGAGAAGGCAATTGTCCTCCCTCCCTTCCCTTCTCTAGCTGGAAAAACGGACTGTAAACTGACAGGCGATACCCTGGGCTAGAGGGAGTGCCTACAGATGGGCTCCCCCGCTCCCCACACACATAAAGCACAGACGTTTTGCTTACCAGTGTTTGGACCATGTGCGGCCTCTGTAACCTCAAGCTCTTCACCGTCTGAAAGACATCCAGAATCCCCTCTGCTTTGACTCTTTCCAAAACAGTGCCCAGTGCACAGAAGGTCCCTGTTCGTCCTGCCCCAGCACTTCACGGGGGTGAGGAGGGGGAAGGGGGAAAGAAAAAAAGGGCAAACTCTGTGTTAGAAGAAGGAGATTGGATTTATATCCTGCCCTTCACTACCCAAAGGAGTCTGAGAGAGGCTTCACGACTCCTTTCCCTTCCCCTCCCCACAACAGACACCCTGGGAGGTAGGTGGGGCTGAGAGAGCTCGGACAGAAACTGCTCTTTTCCAAGAACAGCTCTCAGAGCGGCTGACAAACTCCTTTCCCTTCCCCTCCCCACAACAGACACCCTGTGAGGTAGGTGGGGCTGAGAGAGCTCGGACAGAAACTGCTCTTTTCCAAGAACAGCTCTTATCAGAACTACGGCTTGCCCAAGGTCATCCAGCAGCTGCAAGTGGAGGAGTGGGGAATCAAACCCGGTTCTCCCAGATTAGAGTCCGTGCACTTAACCACGACACCAAACTGGTGTTAGGGATTATTAGGAAAGGGATTGAGAATAAAACAGCCAATACTGTAATGCCCCCGTATAAGATCTATGGTGCGGCCTCATTTTGAATACGGAGTGCAGTTCTGGTCACCGTATCTCAACAAGGAAATCACAGAGCGGGGGGGAAAGTGCAGAGGAGGGCAACCGAGACAACGAGGGGGTCGGAGCACCTTTCCCCTGGAGGAAAGGCTGAAGAGTCCGGGACTTTTCCGTTTAGAAAAGAGACGACTAAGGGGGCGGGGGGGAAAGCGACATAAAAGAGTATGCGTGGGGTGGAGAGAGTGGACAAAGAGAAATTTTTCTCCCCAAATACTAGAACTCGAGGGCATCCAATGAAGCTGATGGGCAGTAGGTTCAGGATGGACAAAAGAAAATACCAATTTACCCAGAAAGTGATTGATTCGCTGCCGGAGGATGTAGTGATAGGTACAGGGATGAACACTTTTGAAGGGGGATTAGATAGACTTATCCTCCATGAATCTATCAATGGCTACTAGCCGTGGTGGCTGAGGGGAACCTCCACATTCAGAGGCACTAAGCCTCTGGATCCCAGAGACAGGAGGCAACATCAGGAGAAGGCCTCGGCCTCTCTGCCCTGCTGTTGGCCCTCCAGAGGGACTGGCTGGCCACTGTGTGATAATAACAATTGATTGGCACAGTAATGAGATAATACGGAGAACAAGAAAAACTGTGAAAAAGTGACGCTTAATATATGTCTTTAAAGAATCATAGAAAAGTGAACAAAAATAATATACATAATCATAGAAAAACATATTGACGGTGATCTCCGGAATGTCTTGCCGTTTTGAAGGAAGATCGCCTTCTGAACAAAGATGTAGGACAAAAAAGGTCTCTCAGAGATTCATATCCTCTGGTGACGTCTCACAATTATCAAGGAAGATTTTCAATGTTCATAACAGCTGTAATGTGTAGTAGAACCTGCCATGGGCTAAGATGATTGTAATGCATTTTTTTGTCCTATGATTCTTTAAAGACATATATTAAGCGTCACTTTTTCACAGTTTTTCTTGTTCTCCGTATTATGGCCACTGGACTAGATGGACCCCTGGGTCTGATCCAGCAGGGCTTATATTCTTTTTAAGTCAAACGGGGGGCGGGGAGAAAAGGTGAGTGGCCATCAATGAAACATT